CTGACTGTACCCACTACATCACCTACCCATCATAAAAAAATAGAGCCCAGGAAGGAGACCCTTAATCCAGCCTGGGAAATGTAAGGGTCCACATGCCCCTGAGCATTTAGGAAAGCTGGTTGAGCTGATGAAGAGGACATGGCAGTGAAACTGCTTCCAGGAAAGCTGTCGGACTTGTGGCTGTTCTCCTGCAGTGGCAGCTGCTGACTACCAGAATATTTGGCTGTTCATCAGCTTTAGAGCTGGAATCGGTCTTTAGAGAGGATAGTACAATCTCCTCAAGATCAAAGCCTATTTTCTTTTTTTTTCTTTCTTGTCATTTTTCTCCTTTGTTCTGATTCTTCTTGCACAACATGACTAATGTGGAAACATGTTTAACATGATTGTACATGTACAGCCTATACCAGACTGCATGCCATCTTGGGGAAGAAAGAGGGGAGGGAGGGAGAAAAAAAATTTGGAACTCAAAATTTTATAAAAATGAATGTTGATGATCGATCCATTCTGGAGAGCAATTTGGAACTATGCCTAAAGGGCTATAAAACTGTGCATACCCTTTGACCCAGCAATACCACGTCTAGGTTTGTATCTCAAAAAGATCACAAAAATGGGAAAAGGACCCACATATACAAAAATATTTATAATAGTTCTTTTTGTGGTGGCCAAGAATTGGAAACTGAGGTAATGCCCATCAATTGGGGAATGGCTGAACAAGTTGTGGCATATGAATGTAATGGAATACTAGTGTTTCATAAAAATGATGAGCAGGCAGACTTGAGAAAAACCTGGAAAGACTTACGTGAACTGGTGCTGAATGAAGTGAGCAGAACCAGGAGAACATTGTATACAGTAACAGCAACATTGTGCGATGATCAACTTTGATAGACTTAGCTCTTCTCAGCAATGCCAATGATCTAAGAAAATTCCAAAAGACTCATGAAGGAAAATGCCATCCACATCCAGAAAAAGAACTATGGAGTTTGAATACAGATCAAAGCATACTATTTGCTCTTTTGTTGTTGTTGTTTCTTCTTTCTCGAGGTTCCTTCCATTTGTTTTAATTCTTTTTTACACCATGACTAACGTGAAAATGTTTAATATGAATGTATTTGTAGAGCCTATATCAGATTGCTTGCCATCTTGGGGAGGGGGAAAGGAAGGGAGGGGGAGAAAATTTGGAACTGAAAATCTTATGGAAGTGAATGTTGAAAACTAAAAATAATTATTTTTTTAAAAAGTGAAAGCTGAAAACTATCTTTACATGTATTTGAAAATAAAATACTATTTACCAGGATGGGGTGGGGGAGAGAAGAATAGTAGCTAGTTCAGAGAACTGAGATGTTTGACTTTCACCATTTTGAATTTTTTTGCCTAGATACAGCACCATACATGACACATGTCCATTAGCTACAGGTCTGTAATAGGTCCATTTTCCTTCTGCTGGAAAACTAATACTGGTCTGATTGGGGAATGGAGTGGATCTACTCATCACAGATACTCTAACACAGGGGTGGGGAACCTGTGGCCTTGAGGCTATCTGTGCCCTTCTAGGTCCTTGGTGCAGTCTTTTGACTGAGTCCAAGTTTTACAGAACAAATCCTTTTAAGGGGATTTGTTCTATGAAGTTTGGAGTTAGTCAAAGGGCTGCACTTGAGGACCTAGAAGGCCACATGTGGCCTTGAGGCCGCGGGTTCCCCACCCCTGTTCTAACAGAATCACTATAGGCAACTTATGTTAGTGGCCAGTTTTCAAAGAATCAAAAAACAATGAAATTCATCCTCACTGAAAGTCATGCTGACCACTAGCTCCAGAAGCCTGCACGCTCTCTGGATAAGGAGCTGGTAGAGAGTTTCTGGATCAGAATGGTGGATTCATTTATTTGGCAAACACAATGGGGAAGCGACCATCTTTGGATCACCCAACCTACCAACACTTGAAGACAGTTACTTTGAGATAGGAATGGATCTCCATAGCTTAGAACTTCACAAGGTAATGTTGTTGTAGTTGTTGTTGAGTTGCTTTCAGTCATGTCTGACTTTTGTGATGCCATTTGGGGTTTTCTTGCCAAAGTTACTGGAGTGGTTTGCCATTTCCTTATCTAGCTCATTGTACAGATGAGGAAACCGAGACAAACAGGGTTAGGTGACTTGTTCAGGGTCACACAGCTAGTAAGTGTCTGAGGCCAGATTTGAACTCAGGAAGATGAGTCTTCCTGACCAGGCCCAGTACTCTATCCTTTGCACCACTAGTCAGTGTGATATAACAGAAAAGAGTAGTGGATTTAAAGGGCCTTAGTTTGAATCTCAGTCTTGCTGATTTGTAGCAATCTAGGGTTAGGGAGATGTCAAGTTTAGATAAGACACAGCCCTCCTCATGGAGCTTACAATCTAATAGAGGGATGTGAATTCATACTCTTCAGTGGTACTCACAATGGTAATGTATAGTGAGGATAAACATTCGACATAAGCAACTCCTTTTTGTGACCTTGACATAACTATTTTATAACTGGAGTCCATTCTGAGACTAAATTTTTTAGATACTAATAAGCATCTGTTGTTTTGACATATTTTTATAACTAAACTGTTTTGCTATTTAGTGATAAACATGTTTTGTTCAATTGTAGAACATTAATAAGAAATGCTTATAAACATCTTTCCCTTGGTAGTTTTCTTTCATCATAAGCTTAGATAATAAACTACCAAAGATGGGCATTTGTTAATAGTGTGATGAACTATCAATCAGAATTAAAGGGTAACTTGTTAATGGTAGCTAGAGACTTTAAAAACCTCCACTGGAAACTTCATTCAATAGCCTGATCCCGAGTGTTCCCTTGTTCACCCACTTCCTAATCCCCACAAGATTCAAGCTTTCCATGTTGGCTTGACATGATAACAGTGCCAATTGTCTGAGGCTCACCAGACCATTGCCTCAAGGAGAGAGAAAACACATGGCTTCTAGCAGAGAAGTGAGGGAACCTTGCCTTGTATACTGGTGTTACAGGATGCTTACCTGGAAGCCCTAGGAATCAGGTTGCAGGTTTGTTCCTGGAGGGGTTTGTATTATTTGTATTAAATAGAATGATTGCACCTGACAAGTATAAGTTTGATTCAGTATTTCTATCAGCACACATAACAGTAGGTTTTGAATATACTCAGTGGGTTATACAGAAGGAATGTGCTATGGGTATATTAATTTTCAAAAGAAATCCAGATGTGTTGGCTGGTCCTAGACGGGGCCAGAAGCTAGGCAGTATAGTTATCCCTTCCATCTGATAGGGGTTAAGGGTGCTGTGCTCCTAGCCCTAGGATCTGGAAAATCTGCAAAAAAAATTTTTTTTTTGGCTCTCCCTTCATGGCAGAGAAGAAGTCTGATTTTTTTCTTTTTCTTTTATGGGGTGTTTACAGTACCTAATTGTAAAATTTGATATTATACAATATTGTACTTATATTTTATGCATTTTTGAGTTTCTAAACTTTTTCTGTGTCATCTGTGGTTTCCATAGAACTCCCCCAAAATTCCCATTTAATTTCTTATGTCAACCCTCGATATTGAAATGGGGAAAAGTCGCGATGTGGAAGGGATAACTAATTGTTCAATATTTCCTAGACTCAGTTGAAGGAATAAGGCAAAACAATTCTGCAGAAAAGAATGTATGTTTATTCGCAGTAAAAATCATGATTTGAAAAAAATTTATTGGCAAAATTACATTTCTGTTTGGTTGCGGGCATTAATGGGGTGTGCTGTAACTGAGAAATCCCTCACCTGCATGCAAAGGGCTTCTCAGTCACAGCGACTTTCCTAACCCAGGATTATAAACTACCCTTAGAGGACTTCCCAATTGCCAGCTATGAACTATTCCACAATCCCCCCTTGCCCCCTAACTCTCCTTCCCTGGTTAGTGCAATGCAAAGAAACAAAAATCCCAAGGCATTTACATTATTTCCTATTTCTCAACATCCTCACTTACAACTTTGACTCGTTTCATGATGAACTAAAATATATATACAATTTTCTTGCCAGCATAAAAACATTTTTTCCTTATTCACAGATATATATCATGGCATTTGGAGAAATAATTACAAACTTTTTTCTTTAAAAACAAAACAAACAAAACAAAAAAAAAACAGAATGAGTTTCTTACAACAGTAAACACAAAAGAAGATCCTTCCTTACCTCTGTCCCTTCCCACCCCACCCCTCCCCACCTCAGGAATGACTGATTCCATTCAGTCAAATTCCTGACTCAGAATTGTCAGTCCCTGGCAAAGTGCACCCAAAGGGCTCAGGGGATGGGGAGAGGAAGCAGTCTTGACTCTGGGATGCTTATCTTGAGGGCTAGAGTCCTACTTGACACAGCCATTTTTACAAATGTTTTTCTAAATATCTCACAACTTCATAGGTCTTTGGAGGATGTTTTTCCATCTCTTTTCCCCCCACCTTCTGGATATAAGGAATGTGTGATTGGTCCAGAAATGGTCACAGTTAATGGAGAAATGAACTAACCAGACTAATTGCCAGTCAGTTAGCACCAAACAATAGCAGAGGCTAAAACAATCAAACAGCTCCCATCTATCTCTCTGGGTTCCTTCCTCCTAGGAGGAAGATTAGTGAGCTTTTAAATCCCTTCTCTTCACCACCTCCCTCCTCCCTTCAACCTCCTCCTTCACTAGCCACCAAGTGGTTTTCATATCATATGAATGAAAGCTTTCATTCACACCCTGGGGCCAGTGTGGGATGATTTTTCTGCCAGCGGCTTTGGCACAAAAAAAGATCAAGCAAGGTAACCCTTCCCAATCTCAGACAAGGTCAAGAAAAAGAAACATATGGGCAAGACTAAGGTGCTTGCCTCTCAGACAGATCTGCCCCTGTCCCTAAGCAGTGCAGTGTGGTACCACAGAAAGAACATGATTGAGAGTCAAAGGACCTGGGTTCTAATCCCAGTTCTGTTCCTTATTACCTGTGTGACCTTTGGCATGTTATTTGACTCCTCTGGGCCTCAGTTTCCTCATCTGTAAAATGATGGAACTGGACCAAATTGATCTCTAAGGTTCCTTCCCAGCTCTAAATCTATGAATCTAATGTCTTCTAGGGCAAATGATTGACCAGGACTGCAGGAACAGAGGCTGGAGGTGGGGGGGAGACAAGAAGCATCAGAAGGTGGAATGGGGAATAACCACTCACAAGAGCACTTATCTGACATGAGTTAAAAGCAGACCCTGGGTTGGGGGACTGAGAGAAGCCCCAGAAGAAAAGAACTTTGTTGAGATGAGAGGGGACAACCAAGTGTTGGGGTATGGAAAATGGAGCACAGTCTTAGAAACCATGCTGAAAACACCTAGGCATTGCTATTTTCTTTTTTGAGGAGGTACCTATGAAACCACATGGGGGACCCCATGAGAGTTGTAGAACCCCAAAAGGTCCATGAAAAGCAAAGTCCCTAACATAAGAAAACCATCTTTTTCTTCCTGATCCCATTTAGAGACTCAGTTGGTGTTTGCCAGTTTGTAGGAAATAGAATATGAATACATTCTAGGTACTTCAGCAGAAGGGAAAAAAAAGTGTTTTGTTGTTTTTTTGTGAGGGGAGATCATATTTGATGCAAATATAAGCGGTACCATTGACAGAAGTTTCAGCATCTTGAAGCTACCTTCATTTCCCCAGCTTCCCCCAGGGAAAGATGCTTCTTGTGACAGGTGGGTTTTCTATTCCCTTCCTCACCCTCCCTAGCCCAGAGAAAACCCAAGGCAAACCATTTTGAAAATAGATAGGGATTAGGTGGCCTCTCAGTTTCTTCCAGCTTTAAATCTATGATCCAAGGATGAGTCAATATTACACACACAACACTTCGGACTGGTCACCTTCCTTCTGTGCACAGCGGCCCCCAGGCCAGCCCCTTCCCTCAGCAGCTGCAGCCCAGGACTTGGCTGGTGATCTGGACGGAGACATTAAGGGGTCCTTTATCCTCAAGCACTAGGTGTCAGAGCTAGCAGCAAGTGAGGACTCCAGGGAGAAGGTAAGGAGAGGAGTTCGTGGAATCTTCTGCCAGTCCTCATTTCAAGGACTTTCCCCACTGCCCTCTGACCCTGCAGATGCCATCACCAAGAGAGTAGTGGGTTTTCTTCCTTGGTCCCAGGTGCCCTCTGGAGTAGCAAGCCCGGCAATGGCCAATGATCAACTTCCAACAATCTAGTCTCTGGGCTCAGAAAGGTTCTGTGTTTTCCCTTCTCTGGGATGGTGGGTAACGCTGTAGCAATGTAATCTGAGATACACTGTTAAGTTTTATATACAAGTCCTGGACCCTGGGATGGGTCACCAATGGCAGATGACTGATTTGCAAATGGTTTGCATTTAGTATCTTGTCTCCCTCCCCCCCCAACCCTTTCCCCAACCCCTTCAGGCTGTTTAATACTGGAAGCTTGGAGGACATTTCCCTCTGAATTAACTAGAGGTTTGCACCCTCTCTAGAGAGACTCTTCTCAGAGAATCCATGGGCTCCGTCCCAGATCCAGTCATCACTGCACACCCTCCTCTTCCACATACGTTGATGGAAACCAGCCAATCTGCAAAAGACACAGTCACCATGGCATGAGAGAATAGTAGAGACATGACAAGAGACCACAGAATCCAGTCTATACTATCAAAGGGCTGATAACTTCTTATTCTCTATAGGAGTCTTTAAATCATAGAAAGGCTCTCATACATAAGAAGGAGGCTCATGCTATGGAACTCCAGAAGACAGAACTAGACTTTGGAAGTTATAGGGAGGCAGATTTCAGCTCAAAACAAGGAAGTTTTTTCTAGCAGGTGTGTCTGAAAATGGAATGGGCTGCCATGCAAAGTAGTGAGCTCCCTGACACTAGAGGTATTTGAGTAGGTAAAGATGACCACCTACACTGGAACTGGAAAGGACCTCAGTGGTTAGCTAGTCCAACCTCTCCATTTTACAGATGAAGAAACTAGAACTCAGAGAATGCAAGTGATGTCAGAGGTCACCTGATCTAACTCGTGTCTCAACATTCCCTCTACAGCATTCCTGACAAGGGTATTCAGCCTCCCTTGGGTGCTTGCAAATGAGGAGGAGGAATTGACTATCTCCTGATGCAGTCCATTCTGGGTGTTTTTGGATAGCTCTAATTGTTAAGGGATTTTTGCTTACATGGAGCCCAAGTTTGCTGCTGGCTGATCATACCCATAGTCCTTGTATAGGTCTTCAAGTGCTGGAAGACCAGTTGCCACCCCTGAGCTATCTCTGTTCCAAAGATGGGGCAAATCTACCATGTCCCAGAAGCTTATACTGAGCCTGGGCCACAAATATCCATAACCCTTAATCTCTGGATGCTGCAAAGTCCAGACAAAGAATCCTGGTTCTAGGCCATTTCGTAGAGCTCCAGGAACAGGTGATTTTAATACTGTGAGGTTTCTTTTTTTAAAGGCACCAAGACAAGGCTCTCCTTACAGCTTAAATGCCAATGTGCCCCAAGGATTCTCTTCTCCAGGACCCCAGTTCCTTCAGCCAACCCTCACAGGCCGCACCTGACAGCAGCCCACCCGGTAGGGGAAGTGACAAAAACACTGAACTAGGACTCAAGGTCCTGCACTTTGGGTCCTGGCTCTGCCACTGACTTAGCTGGACAACATTGGACAAGGCACTTGGGATCATGGCATCATAGGTTTAGAGCTGGAAGGGACCTTGGAGGTCAAGTCCAATGGAAGCCCAGACCCAAGTAACAGAACCTGGGTCTGAACCCAGACCTGACCCTAGCACTCCTTCCATTATCCCACAGGATTGTGTAACCTCCTTGAGTCTCATGTATTCAATGGGATAATACTTATCCTGCTTGACGCTTCAAATAATTTTGAGGATTAAATAAGATCTGATGCTCTTTGAAAAGTATAAACAACTTGGTGCAGCTAGGTGCTGCAGCAGATAGAGCACTGGCCCTGGAGTCAGGAGGACCCCAGTTCAAATTCAGCCTCAGGTATTTACTAGCAGTGTGACCCTGGGCAAATCACTTAACCCTGATTGCTTCCATAAAAAAGTTAGAAAGAACTATACAAATGTAAAGCGATAGAAATGATGACGATCATGGCTAGTATTTATATAGCACTTCAAGGGACTTTATAAAAATTATCCCATTTGATCTTCATAACAACCCTGGGAAGATGGTGCTATTATTAGCTGTATTTTATAGAAGAGAAAACTGAGGCAAAGAGAGATTAAGTGACTTGCCCAGGATCCCTTAGCTTGTAAGTCTCTGAAGCAGCACTTGAACTCAGGTCTTCTTGACTCCAAGTCAATGCTCTATCCACTGCACTGCCCTCACCTTCCTTTTCCACTCATCCCCAAATGGCACCTGATGCTAGGATGTGCTTTCAGGCCAGGTCAGTTTATGCAGTGAAGCCTATGACCCTACTTTGCACTAGGCCTCTTACATACAGTCAGCACTTAGGAACGGAAAGAATTTGGGAAGAAGGGAAGGAAGGAAGGGAGGGAGAGAGGGAGGGAGGAGGAAGGAAAGACTTATTAAGTGCTTACTATATGCTAGGCACTGTGCTAAGCATTTTACAAATATTATCTCATTTGATCCTCATAACAACCCTACAAGGTGCGTGCTATTATCATCACCCCCATTTTACAGTTAAGGAAACTGAGGCAGACAGAAATTAAATGACCTGCTCAGGATCATACAGCTAGGAAGTATCTGAGGCCAGACTGAACTCAGGTTTTCCTCACTTCAGGCCCAGTGCTTTATCTTTGGCACCACCTAACTGTCTCTAGGAAGCAGATACTTGAATCAGTGCATGCGATATACTTCCAAGCCCTGCCTGGTGAGCCTGAAAGATAACCTTACCCTTCCATTGGTTTCTCCCTTCCACCAGCCCTGGTCACCACCAATTCTGCTGTAGATCTTCACCACGTCACCCTCTCGAAGCGAGAGTTCCCGCATGTCCCTGGCTGCAAAGTTGTACCTGGCAACGGCCGTGCCGATAACACGGGGAGTGAACACTGGGCAGAGGAAAGATGGGAATGTTAAGCAATTAGCCAGTCTGGGGTCAGCTTCCACCCTGAGCAAGAGTGGTGGGATATCCAAGTTGAGCTCTCTCTCCCCTCCCCCTATGCTCTAATGGACACTGATGCCATGAGCTGGGGCTATCGGCCCCCTGAAGTCAATTTATTCTTCTGGTGCCAGAGCTCATCACTAAAACGGCTTATGGCAAGGGAAACCCACCTCATACCATCTCCTCCCGCGGACCCGAGTGGCATGATGGGAAACAGAATGGACTAATTCCATGTAGAAGCAATGGCAAGGAACACATAAGGGAAATTATTTTAGGGGAAAGACAGCTGCTGGTTATTTCACTCAGACAGATTCAGGGTTTCAGACAGATCAGGGATAAGTGTCAAGGTCAGAGTTTTGAGCTCTGGTAGCAGAAGCATCTCAGGACCGGCAAGGGTCCCAAAACCTTTTCCCTCCTTGCTTGCTATGCTTTGTACCGCACCTCTCAGCCTAATTCCTTCATATATATTTAATGGGTCCCTAGTATGGTGCTATAGGAAAAAACCCAGGGCAAGGAATCAAGATACCAGGGTTCTAGTTTCCACTCTGAAAATAAACTATCTGTGGGCCCATGACTTATCCTCTAGGACTTCAGGTTCCCCTTCTGTCAAATGAAGGGTTTAGACTCAGAAGGCCTTTAAACTTCTTTCTGTTTCTGGCTTTCTAAAGTGGTACAAGTCATGCTATTCCTTCTCTCCCTTTCTAGATGGCCCCTTGGTTCTTTTCTCAGCTACTTGATTCAAAACTCACCAGGGAGGATGACTGTGTTATTGACACAGGGGGAAATGATCATCTAAGTGATGATGACAACAACATAGATGGGTATGGAGTGAGGTTGGCGGTAATGGTAGTTGTGACTGGGCCAGTCACAGGCCAAGCTTGAAACCCATCCTGAAATCTAAGCCAACAATGGCCACATTTTTCTCCCTTCCCTCCCAAGAACACGTTGCATTTTCATAGTCTCATCCCCTCTGATCATCATAGGTTCTCAAAGTGGGCAATACCACCCCTGGGGGGTGCTGTAAGGATCCAGGTGAAGGTAATAGCCTTAAGTGCAATTGGGGGACATTGAATAAAAGTAAGGGGGCGGTGGAAGCCTAAGGAAAGAAGAGAAGATAAAATTTTGAAAAACCATTTGTACAGATTTCATCTGTTATGTAACAAAGTTAAAGTCATAGTGATTACATTATCTTCCAAATAAATACACAAAATGCAAGTTATAACTGATTAGTTGTCAAGTCTGCCAACAGGTCTTAAGAAACAAGTGTTGGCAGGTGAGCACTGGGAAATCCAGCAGGCATCAGCAAGAATATGTGTGTATGTAATGAAGTGTTTACAATATGATATTAAAGGGTTACATGATGTAATATTGCATCAACAAAATTTCAGTGCAGGAAAAAAAACTCAAAATTTACAATAAATTATTAAATTTAAGATGTGTTATTTTTAAAAAATATATTTTGCATTTTTTTGAAATGACACAAATAAAAAAACATTAAAGGGTTAAAGAAAATAGATTTCCAGGGGGGCATTGAGTAATTTTTTTTAAAGGGGGCAGTAGGCCAAATAAGTTTGGGAACCTCTGGTCTAGATGCTAGAATGGGAAATATCTCCACTCCTAGGCAAGGGAGGACTCCTAGAGCGGTATCACTGGAGCTCTCATGGCTTTCAAGCTCGGGCTGATGGCCTGATGACCCACTGGCAGACTCTCTGCCAGCCAGCAGCAGCTGGTGGATGGATGTGAAGCTTTTCTCCCACACACCCTAGGCAGCTATACCTGACCAGAAGGGTGTGGAGGAGCTCTGGGAGGCAAAGCCGAGGCCCTGAGGACTGAGAAAAGAAAAGTTGTAGGAAGCACAGGAAGCTGCAAAAAGGTTAAGAGAACACATAAAAAGGGAGGAAGAAGGAGAATCAACACAAAAATTATATATAATTTTAAAATTAAAGTCGTCAATGCAAGAGAAGTGAATCAAAAGTTTCCCCGGGATCTCTCATGGAGCAGGAGCTGCTCCCTGGGATGGGAAGTCAAAAAGGGTGGTAATTCTCTAAGATAAGCTCTCTTGGCCCCTCTCCCAAATTACTTCAAGTACAGATGCTATCCCTGCTCTCTATGCCTGGTGAAAAAGCTTTATAAAATCTCAAAGCACTAGAGAAATGTGAACTACTATTTTTCTGACATTAGAGGTAGCATGATATGGTTGAGAGAGCTCTAGACTTCAAAGTCAGGAAACCAGGATTTGAATGTCAGAATTGACACCTAGTAATTGCGTGACTTTGGCTGAATCACTTAACTGCCTTGAGCCTCGGTTTTCTCATATCCACAAAATGAGGATAGTAAAACTTGTGCAACCTACCTCATAGGAATGTTACAAGGAAGTAATTTTTTAAACCTCAAAGCACTACAAATTGTAAGTTACCATTATTATTTACTACATCCAGGCTCCTAGACCTACTGAGGCCATGTATTCCAGACATAAGGAATTCCAGAATTCCTTTGAATTCTGCTTCTAAATTCTGGGAATTGGTAACCTTTCTGCCTCCTGATCTTGCTTAGTCTTGGGCCTGGGTATAGCAAGAATAATGATCAGATGATCGTAGGCACGTGGATCCTGAGTTGGAAGGGACCTTCAAAGCCAATAAACCCGATCTGTTCATTTTACAAATGAAGAAGTTGAGGCAAAGAAAAGTTAAGTGACAATCCCAGGGGTGCAGCTAGTGAGTGTCTAAAGGTGGATTTGAACCTGCCTCCTGGCTGCACTTTGTTGTGGTGTCTACCTAATGAATCTCTCCAGATGCCACCTCCTTCTCTTTGCTTCTCTCATCCCCTCCCTCCCCTCCCTTTCTAGAACCCCATATGTACTGTCTTCTCCCATTAGAATATAAGTTCCTTAAAAGTAGGAACTCTCTCTACATATATTTTTAGCTTGAATTTGTCTTTTCAGCACTTAACACTGTGCTTGGCACAGAGTAAGTGCTTAACAAATACTTTATCTGTCTGTCCTTTTCTCTGGAACAGCATCTCATAATTCAGTTATTAAAATCTCTGCAGCTCCTCATGTCTACCCTCAGCCCAAGCTGGGGGCTCATCTGACTCGCTATATGCTTGCTGATCTCTCTAAAGGAGGATTATGTAGAATGAGCACCTACACAGTACAACTCGAGTCAGTTGTATCCAGGGGCTCTGACCACATCAAAAAGGGAGCCAACACTGGGTACTAAGGCTTACATCTTTCAGGGAAAAGTCTAGCTAAGTCACAGTTAAACTCAAGCACATATGTATTAATCTCCCATTGCTCCACTGGGAATGTTCCTTTCTCTCCTTTCTTTTACAGTCAATGCATCAGAAATCCTGATTTTATGAGAGGCATTATATGTCCTGAAACTGAAAAGGGGAAGTCTTGCTGTGGGTTTTAGGACCCAATGAGATGGTTATCAGAGGATCAGGAACACTCAGAGGAGCAGAGTGAACTGTCCTTTTTAGCATGTTGTAGTGGGAGGGGAACACTCAGCACGCTCTTACCTGGTGACCGGGTGGAGGCTCTTGAGGCTGAGCGTTCTCGAGATTTGTAAGGGTACTTCAGGGTGGTGTCCAGTTGTTTAAAACTCTCCTTGAGTGAGTGGCATTGGTAGTATTCTACCAACTCCTGCCGAAGATAAACATAGTCACAGTGCTTATGTGCCCAACACCATAGACAGACTGGGTCCTCTCTTCTGAGCACTTCCCAAGGCATGCTCTTCCAGGAAGCCCTCTCTGACTACTGCAGGCTGCACTGATTCCTCCTTCTCTGGCCTCTCTTCGCACATAGAGTCTGTACCACAGAGTTGGGTACACACTTGATAATCTGGGAACAACCAAAACACTGGTCTTTTTGCCCTAGCAGACTGTAAGCTAGGGAGAAATAGCTTTGTATACTCCTTACGGCTCTCCTCTTGCCCTCCAACTTGACAGTGCCTAGCACAGGGCTGGGCCCACAGTAAGTGCTTAGTAGAAATCATTTCACTGAAGGACCATGATGTTTTGGTGCTGTCTTTAAGGGCATTTTGGCCATGGGTCTTGTCCATTGAGAAAACCACCTCCACGTTGGATCAGTGGCAGAGTCATATGCAGCTGGACAGAAATATGCCCACCCATCCTCCACGTTAGGAGTAAATCTAGTCAGACTTCTAAAGGAGGATCATCGCCAGACTTTTCTGACTTTCTAAGAAGGGTCCCAGGACCTGCTTGGAGGTTCGTGACTCTTGAGCCTTAAGACACACTCTGAACATTGCATGTGATATAGTAGAACCTCGTGAGGAGGTCCTGGGGAGAGGGGAGAATGTACGTATCCAGACCACTCAATGAGAAAATATTCTACATCTGTAGGGCCATGAAATGATCTGTGAGGTTTTCTAAGTAGAATTAGACTTTACTTTTCTCTCTTTTTTATACTAAAAGGGAATTTTTCTCCAGAGAGAGTGAGAACATCACCATCAGGAAATAAATGCTTAGCAACCTCAGGCAAACATACTACAAAATGGAGCAGAGAAAGCTTGTTATTAATTCATGTTACTGTTTTCCCATGAAGCCCTTTCCCTGGGTTCCTTCCCCATCCCCTGTAAATGGGCCCAGGCAGGCGAAGGTTACAGAGACTCCCGTACCAATAGGCTTTCAAACTTCTTTGCTTCTGTGATATGAATCCAGTTGTCTTTCTCTACCACCTTAATGTGTTTCACTTCATCATTGAACCTGAGGAACAATGGCAAAATTAATATTCCTGATCAAATGAGCCAAAGCTAAGAATTACTTCAGAACTGCTACGACTGCTTCCCCATTCCAATGGTTGGCTGAGACCAGCTCCAAGCACCCTTTGACTGCTCGCCATGTCTTTCTGTCTTCATCAGTAAATCAAGGATCAGCCTTTTCCCATTACCTACTTGACCAGCTACTCCCATTATTTGGTTCTGTTTCTCATCCTAGGCTAGCTGTGTTTGGTGGACTGATGCCTTATCTAAGATGAAGTATATAGATGCTTCCCGGTCACGGTATAGGATTGCTCAAGTTGTTAAGGTCTCTCTTGCTGCCTGTGACTCACATCAGCTAGCCTACTTTTCCCTGCACTGTTGGGTTTCTTGGTCTGGGATGACTTGCCTGGACCTTGGACCTCCCACTTCACACTGACCTTCAGAATTTGAGTCTTGCTTCCCATGATCCTTCTAATCTCTTATCTCTTGCCTGCGCTGGCATCTGATATCCTGAATGCCTTCAACCTGGCTTGTCTGCCTAGTTTCTGAAGCGTTGCTCTGATGTGCTCTATCATCCCTGCGTGTACTCTGCGGGCAGACTGCTCATGCCACTCCTTTTTTTCAGCACTGTCTGACTACAGGGATCAAGGGACTTTCTTAACTCTGGCCCACTCCTGCACTTGGGGCTAGTCCTTTATTCCCAGCCTTGCTTTGAGTATCCCGGTCCTGGCTTTACATCTCGTCCGCTCTCTCATATCCCCTCGTAGCTTTGATGCTGACACTCTGCTCTCGTTTCAAGCTTCTGGACATCTTTATAAAGCACAGAGAAAAGTGATCTTGGATGAAAGGCCTTTTTTTCCTCACCTTTTTATTTGGGGGCATGGGGAGGGTCAGGAAGGGGACCAACTAATTTTGCTGTGTTAGTGGAGACTTTAGCTGGCAAATATGATAGCTTGCCATGGATATTGGCCTGCCTTACATCTGGTAAGTTAAACACTTTGAGATCCTCATCAGGATATCATTTGAATTGCTCAGGCTTTAATTTGGGGAGAGGTCTCATTGCTGCTGACAACTAGTCAAGCAATTGTGGTTTTTTTTGGTTTTTTTGGTCAGGCACGTACTTTATACTTATGGCAAATCGCTCTGCCTCCGCAGGTCTTTCTCGGATCAAGTACGTCCCACTTGCATGGGATTTCAACAAGTTGTCAGTTTGTTGTCGCTCCATATTGCCTGCAAACCTGAAGATGGACAGATTCCTTTAGGCAGTGACACATAAAAAGATTAATGTGCAGCAAAATCCTTCCAAGAGATGTGATTTTTATTTGGGAGGGGAGAGGAGTTTGGAATTTGTGATTTCATCTATAGAGGGAACCTCCAGTGTGGGAACTCCCTCCACCTATGTGGAACAGCAACTTTAATCTTAGATTGTTGCTTGGGGGCACCGAGCTATTAAATGAATTGCCCATGTCCACACAGCTAGAGTGTATTAAAAGCAGGAATTAAACCCAAGTCAACCTTCCTGATTCTAAGACTGGCTTTCCATCTATCATACCACCTTCTCTCTCTTAATGGACGTGATGGTGAGATAAAGGTGAGTGAATCATCAAATCAAAATGCCAGAGAGATCATTTACTGCAACCCCATCATTTGACAGATGACAAAACAGAGGCCCAGAGAAGAGAAGGGATAGGCTCAAGGTCACACAGTTGAGTAGGTAGCAGAATTAAGTTTAGACCCATGCATCCTGACATTTGTCACATTGCTGCCCTGCTCCAACATCTACCCAAGAGTTAGGATATCTAATAAAAAAATTCTCTCCATTAACTCGTTTTAACAGTGGACTCACCAGGGGTATGTGGTGTAGTCTATTTCTCTGGATAGGGGCCTACTGCTTGGAGGCTGTAAAAAGAGAATATGACTGGTTATTAAGGCACAAAGAGTCTGGGACCACAGGATTTAGAGCTGGAAGGGGCCTAGAAATCTATCTTGTTCAACCTTCTCATTTTACAGCTGAAGCTACTGAGGTCTGGAAAAATGAAGTGACATAAAATAGCAGAGCTAGGATTTGATCCCAGGTCCTCAACTCCAAATATGGATCATATGCCCTCAATTCCACCATGCTGCTCAATGTTTCAGACTGCCCTGTCTCTCAATATTCTCTCTGAGGCTATTTTTTTCTCAATGCCAGGAATTTCTAAGTTTTTGTCCACAGAGTAGGAAGGAACTAGATTTGTTGTCTATGATTCGTGCCTGATCTGTATATACTCTATATGGAAGAGAAATCATATATAAATCATGAGTTTACCCTCCGCTCCCTGGGGCCTCAAGTTTTTGTTGTTTCTGTCGTTGTTTTAATCAGGCCCGCCTCTTTGTGACCCCATTTGGGGTTTTCTTGGCAAAGAGACTGGAGTGATTTGCCAATTTCCTCTTCTAGTTCATTTGACAGGTGAGGAAACAGAGGCAAACAAGGTTAAGTGACTTGCCCAGGGTCACAGAGCTAGTAAGTGTGGTAAGTAAGAAGCCAGATTTGAACTCAGGAAGATGAATCTTCCCGGCTTCAGGCTGGGCACTCTATCCACTGCACCACGTAGCTGCATGCAGGGCCCCAGGCTACATTTAGGTAATGACCTCATGACGTCCCCTTTCTCTCCAGTGCTCCAAAACACAGCCTGTTCCTTCCCCAGCACCACCATGTGCTATGTTCTGTGCTAGGTCATCAGCCCACCTGCCCTACAATGCCTTGAGGCAGGGATCTCCAACCCATGCCTGAGAAAGAGCAACTTTTCATTTGCCTGTTGATCTCCACAGGCAAGAGGATGACAGGATCAGAAACGTGGAATGGGAAGAGAATTCAGAGAGTGTGCGGTCCAATGCCCTCATTCTCCAGGTAAAGAACCTTATGCCTACAGTGGTAAAGCTAGCTGCTCGTGGTCACATAGGTATTAATCACCAGAGGCAGGATCTGAACTCAGGTCCTTTCCATCCACGGTTAGTACACTGGGCATTTGCTTACTCATTCCACAAAACTTAATCAATCACACTAAGTACCAAATTTAGTACTGGACAAAGGCAACCAGCTAAAGATGCTTCTTGGAGCTCACATTCTAATAGGGTAATAAGAGAAAAACAACACAGCTAAATAAATTGTGCAATATTCCATACTAGGTGATTAGAGGGGTATAAGACAGAGAGGGATGTGAGGGCTAGGGTCAGGTGGCTGCCTACTAGGAGAAGCAGAGAATAGTTCAAGGATGACGTGGTACTTTAGCTGAACTTTTGATTTTTTGGGGGGGAGGAGGCAATTGGGGTAAAGTGACTTGCCCAGGGTCACACAGCTAGTAAGTATCTAAGGCCACATTTGAACTCAGGTCCTCCCAACTTCAGGGTCAGTGTGCTATCCACAGAGCCATCTAGCTGCCCCTAGCTAAGCTTTTGAAAAGGTATGTATGAATTCAATAGCTGAAGAGGGGAAGGTGGGCATGACAGATATAAGAGAATAGTGTGAACAAAGACTCCAAGGTGGGGGGGCACTGTGAGTACAGGGAGCGGGGCAAAGAGCTATTCAGTTTGGCCAAAACATACGAGGGGGAAAGAGTGACATGAGATAAGGTTGAAAAGGTAAGGTGGCTCCAGACTTTGGAGGGCCTGGAATGCCTGGCGATGGAGTTTCAACCTTATCCATTAAACAGTAGGGAGCCTTACAAATTCTTAAGGAGAGGAGTGTCACAATATATACAGAAGGAAAATTATTTTGGCTGTGGTATGTAGGACAGATGGGGTGCGGGGAGGGAAAGGGGAGGCTGTGTAAGTCAAGTCTCTCTACGGAGCCAGGAGCTCTACTCCAGCACTCTTTCTGCAACACCACGATGCCAACAATGTGCTCCAAACCCCTGGCAATCAAGTTCCCTGGTCCACTGGACCTCAGTAGCACAGATGGTGTCAACATTTGGAAAAGCGCTTACCCGTCCGTCCACAGGGCAGGGCTTCACAGATGAACTAGGAAAATAACCCGACTTCTTGGTCTGCATTAACCTTCCCTGGAAAGAGCAAGATTCATTTCAGGGTTCTGTCTAGGGATTTGCAAGTCTATGCAAAGTTTCCTATGGGGAGATTTCCACCATGATCCTGAGCTCTCCCTAGGACTCCAGCACAAGCCTAACAGATACACTTATATATTGTTGTTGTTCAGTCTTGTCTGACTATGTGAACCCATGGATTTTATCCATGGGGTTTTCTTGGCAAAGACACTGGAGTGGTTTGCTATTTCCTTCTCCAGTGTGTTCCCATTTTACAGATGAGGAATTGAGGCTAATAGGGGTTAAATCACAAGGTCACACAGCTAGTAAGTGTCTGAAGTTGGATTTGAACTCAGGAGATGAGTCTTCCTGACTTTAGGCCCTGCATTCTATCCACTTCACCACCTAGTTGTCCTGATGGGGATATAGGTCAGTTAATTTGAAGTATTTTCCAGGCTCCCCGAAACACCACTTACTTCCCACCACTGAGACTCAGGGTCACCTCTCAGCAGTTCAATCACATCGCCTGTTTGGAATGTCAACACTGGCTTCCCGGGAGGAGCTGGAATACCATGGTAATTCTGCACTGCCACCATCTTAGGACCTGCGACAGAGGGAAAGGGAGTAGCACATTCTATGACTCAGTTCAACTGGGAATTGTCCTATCCCCTGTGCCCCAACTTGTTAAATACCTTTACAGGAGCTATGCAAGACACCTAGACTCACACTTTTAAAATGCCTTCATAGACTTCTTATATCTGTTGTCCACTCTGGCTAAGTACCCCTGACTAACCACCATGCCCCAATTAGGTTCCATTAAAAAAAAATCATTGGATTTAGTGGGGCCCTGCCATACTGATGATGAGACTTCACATGTATCAGTTTTTCAATCTGCAAAATGGAGGTGAGAGTACCTGCTAAATGCCCCTCCTGACACACCACTCTGCATGTACCCCTCCCCACTCCTTTTTACCAATCAAATTGGTACTCCCACTCCTGGAAAGTAGAAGTTAATCAATGACCCTATGCCTCCACTCATCATCCCTGTGACTTCCCAGACCAAAACACCTTTCCCTTATGAGTGATTCTCTGTTAGGATGTAGGTTCCTTGAGAGCAGGGACCATCTTGCTTCATGTATTTGTATTGCCAGCAACCAGCATAGTATCTGGCACATAAGTGCTTAATAAATGCTTTTTCATTCATTCACTCTTTGTTCATTCATTCATGAGAAGAATGCTAATTTCTCCTGATGAGATACTAGTGCCTGTTTTTTTTTTCCAGCCATCCTGTTTATTAACTATCCTAAGTAAATCTGCTTAATTCAAGCCAAAAACTTTACTATGGTCACAGGTACGTTAACAACAACTTCTTTCTATAGGGTATTTTATGCTTTTCAAACTATTGCACATAGATAATCCTACTGGAACTTTGAAGTAATTTTCCATTTTACAGATTGGAAAACTGAGGTATCCAGTGACAGGAAGTAACTTGCCCAAGAGCACATAGAAAGTCTATTATTTCTATTCACAGTCCTACAATGTAACCTCTGTGAAGTTAAGGACCTTATCATAGTTAAATCTACATCTCTGCCAGTGTGCAGTATGATGCTCAATACACAGGAGGTATTTTATTTTATAGGTATACGTGTGTATACATATGTGTATATATATATATATACATATCTATATTCACTATTTATAGATCTATATTTTTAAGAAAATAAATATTTCTATGGTCATATGTTATATATGCTTATTTAAAAATATTTTTCAAAAACTTTCCCAATTGCATGTAAAAACAATTTTTAACATTCATTTAAAAAAATTTTGAGTTCCACATATTCTCTCTTCCTCCCTTCCCCCTTCCCTGACACAGTAAGCAATTTGATATAGGTTATAAATGTGCAATCATGTAAAACATATCTCTATGTTGATCTATATTTATAAATAGAACATATTTATAAAAGTGTGTATATATTATTTATAATATTTATGTATAATAGCATTTGTATAGAACTTACTATGTGCCAGGCACTCTGCTAAACGCTTTACAATTATTAATCCATTTGATCCTCACAACAACACCTAGGAGGTAGGTACTATTATTACCTGGCTTTTACAGATAAGGCAACTGAGGCAAACAGGGTTAAGTGACTTGTCCAGGGATACACAGCTAGTAAGTGTCTGAGGCTAGATTTGAACTCAGGTCTTCCTGACTTCAGGCCCAACACTCTATGCACTCTACCACCTAGCTGTCCTTATTATATACATTACTCCTCTTCATTCACTCCACAACTCAGATTGACCTTGATGTTTCTCACAATGGCACACCATCTCCTGTCTCCATATTTTTGCCCAGACTGTGGCCCATGCCTAGAATGCTCTCTCTCCCTCCTTGCTTCCATCTCTCACACTCTCTTATTTCCTTCAAAACTATGCTGAAGTGCCACATTCTACATGAAGTCTTTCCTGGTCCCCTTAGCTTCTTTCCAGTAAAGATCCAGTATTTATTTTATGGATTTATGTGTGCAATACATATATGTACATATGTATGCACATGTCTAATAGACACACACATATATATAATAGACACATACATATACATTGTCTTAACCAACAGAATGTAAGCTTCTTGAAGGCTGGGACTATCTCTACTTTTGTCTTTGAATCCCCAGCACCTATCACAGCCAGCACCTATCACAGCACCTGCTGCATAGCAGGCCCTTTATGAATGCTGATTCATTGACCGATTCAATATTCTTGGGCGACAAAGACTAGGAAAGAACATGACCACAAGAGAGGGAAAAGAAGAAAAACTGGGATCGTCCCCTTTCCCCAAATGACAGCATTTCAAACAAGCCCCGGTCTTTACACCCCACCCCTCTCCTGGGGGAGTTACTGTGGCATTTCAAGAGAAGGTCTAAGCAGGGCGGATTTGGGGTTCTCGCCAATGTCAATGTCTCTTTTCCACGACACAACTATTCATTAACCCTCCCAAATGGAACCTTAAATAATGAGTGTTTTGTACTATAACAGACATACTTACCAGCTCCTGTACTTAGTGCGTCCTGTAAAGGAAAGAAAAAACAACAGACTGCAATTAGAGAAGATGCTTTTCATTGACTCAGGGCTTAAAATATCAGATTTATTTTTCTTAAGTCACCCTTCACTGCTGTGGATGACAAACTCCCCACCCTAGAAGTCAAAGCAACGGACAAGAGAGGGGGTATTGCAGATGGGGCTTTTAATGCCTTCTCATGCCAAAAGCCTTTCATTGGAGGCATTCACTTTTTTTTTACCCTCTCTGTATCCTCCCCACCAGCTTCTCTACGAAGCCTTCCCTGACCAGCCCAGTGGTGACTATAATGCACTCGTATGGCATTAAGTGTGTGTCTTGTCTCTTCAGTACAATGATAATCAATTTAGGGTCAAAGCCTGAATTCTAGACTAGCGCCCTGCACATAGTAGGCAGTGAATAAAAGTTCACTCACTTGATTTTTATTTTATTGATATCTTGCATCCTCCACAGTGCAAACACATTGCTGGGCACATAGTAAATTATAGGATCATAGATTTAGAGCTGGGGCAGCTAGGTGGCACAATAGATAAGAGTGCTAGGCCTGGAGTCAAGAAGAGTCACTTAGTAGCTGTGTGACCTTGGGCAAGTCACTTAACTCTGTTTGCCTCAATTTCTTCATCTGTAAAATGAGCTGGAGAAGGAAATGGCAAACCACTGCAGTATTTTTGCCAAGAAAACCCCAAAAAGGGTCATGGAGAGTCAGACACAACTGAACAACAACAACAAGATTGACAGCTGGAAGGGATTCTGGAGGCCATTATGTTCATTTCTTCATTTTACAGATAAGAAAACTGAGGCACAGAGAAATAACTTGCCCAAGGTCACATAGCTAATATGTGCCTGCTGCAGGATTTGAACCCAGGTCTTTCAGTGTTCTTTCCACTACACAATGTTGCCTCTCATAGTATTCTGTGCCCTTCTTATTGTATTGCAACAATATCCTATCCACCACACCAGTGGCATCAAATTCAAATAGAAATGGGCCACTAAATGGTATATAAAGATCCCTGTGGGTCACATATTGGGTTAGAAAGCCACAAATTAACATTTCTTTATATTCCATTGTGTTTTTGTTTATTTTGTTAGATATTTTCCAATTCCATTTGAATCAGGTTTCAGGCTGCTGTGAAGGGGGCTTCTGTTTACCACCTCTGCTCTGTCCCACACAACTACTTATTTGGTTGGCTGACTTGTTGACAAAGACAAGCTTCTTTTAGGTAAACTAGAGAAATGCAGGCAGGAGGAAAGGATCCATCAATCAATAAGCACTTGTTAAGTGTTCTCGATGTGTCAGGCATCAGACGTAGAACCCCAGAATGTTTTCTGGTGTCCTCAGCCATTGGAGGAGGGGCACAAGAGGGCCACAGGATGGACCAACTGATGGGAAGGACATTCAATGTGCAGGACCAGGTAAAAAGTCACACAATTTGGGAGATGGAAGGGGCCTTGTCTAGTACAACTTGGACGTGAAAGGAAGCCACATTACAACATACCCAAGGAGTGGTCCTCTAGCCTCTGGCTTGGAGCCTTCCAGGGAGGAAGAACCACCACCACCACCACCACCATGACAGAGCAAGGACATAGTTGGCCTATCACCTGGATGGAATTCTCGTGCTCTATGTAAATAATCGCCACTGCAGATGAATGGAGACATTCAGGGGAATCTGGTTACTACCATCACCCTTAGTGGATAGCTCGTGGCTCAGGGAAGCAATGGGTATTCAGATAATTGAACAGTTTCTCTGCCAACAGGTGTGAACCAGGTTTTCTAAGCAACAGAGATGAGAGGGAAGAGAATGGGTTTGGATGTTCTTACCGAGTCTACAGGAGAACCTGGAAAAGAAGAAAAACGAGCAGAGTTAGAGGTCAAACAGCCCGAAGCGAGTGAGCCCCTGGATAAAGTTGCTTATTCATTCAAGTGCTTCACCCTGGGCCTGTTGTTTTAGGTTGGTGAGTGAGGCAAGACATCATGAAGGTTAGTTACCAGTATGGATTACAGTGACGGCTGAAAGGGAGCCCGGGGGGGATTTCCCCCCACTGTTCCCACCATGTGTTCCTGCTATTCCTCCAAGTACTCTCTATCAACTTTGGAGAGTGAATTTTTAAGCTTTGGTTTTGGGAAGGAGGAGAAATGGGAATCTAAGCAGAGTGATGGGACTGAGCCTTACAAACAGATTTGCTGATGTCAGTGTGATCACATGCTGCAGGAGAGAGGTAGGCTTCAGCTTGTCAGATAGCAAGGACGCGTTCCAGCCCCCCCTCCCCAAGCTCCCCAGCATTTTCCCTGTCTTCTCCCCCCGACTATGAGCAGACTGCTGAGTCCCAAGGATCTGACCAGCTGGGTAGCCCACCCTCTGTGGAGCAGGGCAATGGTTACAGTAAAAAGCACACGGGAGACTCTGGCAATTCAAATGCATTCTAACACTCACAGTTGCAGATATATTTAGGTAGACATATGTATCCAATGGGCCCTAAAGAACACAGATGGACACACTGAGCTGGGGTCCAAGCCAGGAGATACAGACATGTAAAGAAAGAAGTCATTGCACACACCCACATAAGGGCCACCTGGGGCTAGTCCCAGAGTCCCTCCAGCCTGGGATTCTATCTCTGTAATGGTCCCTGTGGAATGATTTAGGGGAGGACCAGCCTCTCTCCATGGTGCTAGCCTAATATGGCAGTGTTTGACTCATACTGAGGAGGCTTAAATTCAAATTTTGATCTCTGACACCTGCTTGACCATGGGCAAGATCTTTCACCTTTCTGAGCCTCAATTTTCCCATCTATAAAATGGGGATAATAAATATTGGTCCTACCTACTTCATTAGCACTATACAAATGGGAGTTATTATTTTCTCTAACTTGACCTAATAATTTTTTACATACAACAAAAGTAAATGGAAAGAACAACAGCAATAAAATATTCTAAACTGAATGTTGTAAACTTATAATGACTAACCTTGGCCCCAAAGAGGAGATAATGAGAAAGCTCCTTCCCTACTTCTTTACAGAGGTGGGGGATTATGGGTATCGAATACTATATATCTGTCAGACTTTTTTCAGTATGTCAGCTAGTTTTTCTGAGATATTTATTTCTTATTTTTTATTCTCGTTATAAGGGAATGATTCTCTAAGAGAGGGAGGGGGAAGACTATATCAGAAAATAGAAATTAGCATAAAATAACTTGTAATAATTTGTTTGAATAATGATTTATGTTTCATCCTATATATCTAACATGGTAATAAGTTCTATAAGTTTATTCTCTATTGTGAGAAGCCTTTTGGGGGGGGATTCTCAAAATTATCTCACATAATGCTCTCAGGCACCCACAGTTTTAGTATCTGGAATGTGGTGAATAAATCCATACTCTGCTTTCTCCATGCCTTCTATGAGTTTAAAGGCTTCTATCTTATCCCCTCTTGGTCTTTGTCTCCCCAAACTTCAGCATTCTAGTCTTCCTGATCACATTTCTTCCACCTCCACATCTTTGCTTATGTTGTGCTCCCCTGCCTGGAAACCCTTCCCATCTCTGCACCCAGCCAAATCCTATCCATATTTGAAGGACCAGATCAAGTTCCAGTTTTTCTGTGTAGTTTTCCCCAATTCCTCTGGTTCTCAGTGTTTCTCTTCTTCTCTCCCCAGCCAAAACACACCTACCTTCCTTTTCTCTACTCTTTAACTCACGGAGAACAGAACCAAATACTTCTTACACTCTCTACTGTGTTGGTGGCCCAATTGTTTTATCTGGACTGTGAGCTCTTTAAAGGGCAAGGTCTATGTCCTCTATTTCTTCTATATCCCTCACTGTGCCTCGCAGGAGGACTCAGGAGGAGCTCAATACAGAGTTGTTGGTTGACTAATTTAAAGAAACAAAGCCCAAACTCATATTTCTATAGCCTGAAGGCTTATGAAGAGCATTAAGCACAACACCCTTGTTAAGTAATTCAAATTTTAAAGATGGGGAGGAGGGCAGCTAGGTGGTGCAGTGGATAGAGCACCAGCCCTGGAATCAGGAAGACCTGAGTTCATATCTGGGCCCGAGACACTAGCTATGTGACCTTGAGTAAGTCATTTAACGTTGCCTCCAAAAAAGCAAATAAAAATATAAATAAAGATGAGGAAACTGAGGTTCAGAGAAATGAAGTCACTGCCCCACGGTGTCATATTTCATAAATGTCAGAGCCTGAAATTGAACTCGGAGCTGGTTCCATGTGTTCCCACCAAGTGATGCCATCTCAGGTCAGTCCTCAGACTATACCTTCTACCCTCTGGATCACAGAGAAGTGATGTGACCCAGAGTGCCAGAAATTCTTAAGAGAGTAGAGCCTGTTTCATATTTGTCTTCATATCTCCAATTCCTAAGACAGCATCTGGCACACAGGAGGCACTTAATAAATGCTTGTTGATAGACCAATTCAAGTCCCACCTCAAGCATTTATTAGCTGTGTGATTCTGGGTAAGGTATTTAATCTCTCAGCATCAATCACCTCATCTTTAAGATGGGGACACTAACACCATCTACCTCACTGGTCTCCTGTAAGGATCTAATGAAGTAGCTTATATAAAGTACTTTGTAAATAAAATGTAAAGTGCTACATAAATGCCAGCTCTTATTATCATCACCATCATCACTGTCACCTTTTCTTGCTTTTCCCTTCCTTTGTCCTGTGCTACCTTAGGCTCCAAGGCCCATATTTGCCTAGAGAATTCAGCTGTGACTTGGTAAATGTCTATGGAATTGTACGGTCCCTCCTTCTCTATAAACTGTATTCTGGAAACGTCATAAAAATATCTCTAAGAATTAAAGGCTAGGCTGCCAGGGTGAGCCAGGCAACAAGCATTTATTAAGCACTTACTATGTGCTGGGTACTGTGCAAAGCTTTGGGAATACAAAGAAAGGCACAAGACAGTTCCCGTTCTCAAGGAGCTCACAGTCTAAAGGGGGAGAAAACACATGCACAACCATGCAAAGGTACAGACAAGAAAAACTGGGGATGGTCTCTGGGGCTAAGGAGGCCTGGGAAAGGATTCTTGAAGAAGGCGGGGCTTTAGCTGGACCTTGGAGGAAGCCAGGGAAGTCAGGAATTATCGATGATGTGGGAGAGCATCCCAGACGTGGAGCACATTCAGGGAAAATGCTCCAAGTTCAGAGATGGAGAACCATGTGCAAAGAAAAGGAAGAAGACAAGTAGACATAGAGCACTTGCTGGGTTTGTCCCTATGGCTGGGGCCAAGCAGGACTGGTATGACCAGGGGTGTACTGGAACCAGCCAATGAGTAGATTGTTTAATTTTCTTTGGGAGCATTTACACCCTGGAAATCAGAAAATGCTACAGATTAGGGCTTGATTTATTATTTTGTTGATTGTCTCGACTTAACAAACAGACAGAAAAAATGTTAATTACATAGATTAATCTTAGAAGTATGTCATACTTTTCAGAGAGCTGGTTGTTAAACATTTACCACTCCCACCCTCAGTCCATGACACTGACTCTGGTGATATTGGCTAGGAAGCCTGTTGGTCTAGCTAAGGCCCTCGACATTTGAGCACATTACCTTATCACCTTGTCTAGATCAAAGTGTTTATGGAAGCCACCTGGCCCTCTAACAATAGACCCTCCTGGGTCCTGTGTACTTATTATAGTACTCAGTACACATCAGGTACTTAATAAATGCTTATTCTGCCCCTCCCCCCATTTTTTTCTGCAGCTGCTTATGTTGTTCTCAGTTGTCTGTCAAGGAATACCCTATTCAGTGATTAACTAATAGCAGGTGTCACTAAGTCCAAGGTCAGGGCTATCTCAACAGGATGATGTTTTGCTCTAGACTGTAGAGTGTTATATAACAATGTGGTGGATCTATGATGTCCTTGGTATGCGTAGTCCCACCATGTGTGCACATTGCAACCCATCCATACCATCTTCACTACAGAATGGGGATTCTCCCATCCCATGCCTTTCCCTCCATCCTCTACAGCATGTTCTGGAACTGTGAACTGCTGATATTAGGGGTCTCTTCACCATGATACAGTGTTATTATCTCTATTTTATGAATGGAAAGAGTCAGAAGATTTAGTATTAAACCCTGGTGCTGCCACTTATTAACTGTGTGACCTTGGGAAAGTCACATAACCTCTCTCCTCTTCAATTAAAAAAAAGGGGGAAGGGAATGATGGTGGAGTGTTAAATTAGTTCTTATCTTGAGTTTATTTCAGCTCTAAATTTTAAGGAAAAAAATCATTCGGCCTTAAAAGAATGAATCTCTAATGCTGGAATTGCAGGCACCGCCAGGTGGCAAAGAGAGAAAGAGACACTTCTTCCCAGTATACCCTACATAAGGCCCGCTCTATAGGAAGGCTTCTGCCCCAGCACTGCAGCTACCTTATGAGGAGCAGACCCACTTTTTGCCTTCTTCCAGGTCACCCATCTATACCCTGAAGTGAAAATGGAGCAGAGAATGGTGAATCCCCACAATCCCCTGCAACTGGGCTAAAATTTATCCCCTTAGCCTCATTAGTATGAAATTTGGGGCACAGAGATAAATAAATAGCATGGTATCAGCATGATATTTTGGGCATGGAGATAAAAGGCATGGTAGAGCTAAGAAGCACCGGATCAGGAGTGAAGAGGCCTGACTTCCAGTCCTGGTTGTGATATTACCTTGCTATCTGGGTCGGTGTTTTTTACCCTCTGGGGCTCAGTTCCCTTATCTAGAAAATAAAGCAACTGGACTAGATTCCCTAAAATCCTTCTAGCTCTAAACACCTGACTCAGCAGTATGTTGCAAAAAGCTCTGGAGGTGGAGTCAGAAGATCTCGGTCGAGCTCCAATCCATACTACCACACCAGCTGTGTGACCTTAGGTGACCTCACTTTATTTCTCTGAGCCTCAATTTCTTCATCTGTAAAATGATGAAAGCAGTGTTTGTACTCCCTTGTTACATGGATCAAATGAGAAAATATATGCAGTACATTATACAAATATAAGCTAGGAGGGCCATGATGATTTACCTCCATTCAAATCCTCTTCTGACACTTAACTGTGGCATAGAGGTGACCTGGAGTTCTCAGAGGCTACAGGAGTGGAGTATACCTAATCAAGCTAAAATGACTTTAAAAATGGGGCTACAGTAAATTGTATCTGCTGAGGATCAGCCTAAATAATCAACCAACCACAAGCATTTATCAAATACCCACACAGTGCTAGGCACGCTGTTAAGGACATAAACAATCTCACCAGAAGGCTGACTTCCTAAAGCACAAAGTCTGACCATGTCACCTGGCTGTTCAAGAAGTTTCAATGGCTTCCTACTTATTTCCTTTGGAATAAAATACAAATTCCTGAGCTCAGCATTTAAAGCTCTTCATAATCTAGTTCCAATCTGCATTTGCCGATTTACTGCTCATTACTTTCTTTATGCATGCTCATTTCTAGTGGAACTTTTCACTAGTAAAGCTCTTCCCCAATATGG